TAGTAGCGTCCTTGCTCCTAGTAGCGATGCCAGGAGCCCCTAGTAGCAAATGGATGGCCATCCGCTCGAACTTGTTAAATATTCCTGCTCAGTCGTTGTTGCTCAGCAGATTCACGGAGCAAAAAGACGGGTCAAGCAAACATGGAACTCATGGGATGAACTTAATCATTAAGAGTACGGCCAGGAGCCCCTAGCAGCCCTAGCAGCGTCTTTGCTCCTAGTAGAAATGCCCTTTGCTCCAGCGCCCTTGCTCCTAGTAGTACGGCCAGGAGCCCCAGTAGCGTCTTTGCTCCTAAGTTCATGAAAGAAAACCACTTGGATTAACTTAATCAATCATTAATCCCGATCCCTCTCTTCGCCTTGGGAACAGTTAGTGGTTTGGCCGTCCCCCATGCCAAGACAAACCACGCCATGAGCCCAAACCACCCAACACAGACCATGTGAAGCAAGTGACAGTTGAAAGGACACCTTCAGCCGCTGGAGCCTTCCCTTCTTGATACTGTAGGTACTTTGTGCATTATTGTAGAACACGTGCCCGAATAGGTTAGTTGTTCCGTGATTGCTATTCGGTTCGCTTCGCAACGACAACCACTCGCAACATTGGCTCCTGGGGGTCCAAATATAGTTGCTTGTGATCATTCTAATCATTCTATTTTCCGACTCCATTGAAATTGTACAACATTGTATAGAGCCGCCACGGCCCAAAACCGGTAGGCTTAGGGACACGGCTCCCGGGGGCCACTGGCCACCTCCCAAGGTGGGGGTGGTGTCTACAAGGCTGCTGCCCCCAGTAGCCAGCCTTTGTGCTTGTGAGACCTTTAGCTAGGTGTGCCACGTGCTTGGTAGGTTTTGCCATGGCAATGCAACATGTGTTGGGCCTCGTGGATCAGATCCTTGAGGACCCTCTGAAGTCCAAGATGCGGGGCATTTTTACTGAGCTGCAGTCACCGACGGTTTTTCCTCGGTTCGGTGACCTTCACTGCTGCGCTGGAGATGTTATCGCTGTTGGGCCTCAATGGATTGATGCCGCCTTGCACCAACTCCTGCCTTTTGAAGGCTTCGTGTCCAAAGGAGAAGAGGATTGTTTGATGCGTTTGCACATTCAGGATGTTGCAGCTCGCTCGATCCACCTTGCGAGTGGGGTCCAAATTGTTTGCACAGGGATTCTGCGCCACCAACATGACAACAAGGAGGCCTGGTTTGACCATGCTGCACTCTGTTTCCGACCAGAGTTGATAACAGAGTTGCCCTGGTCGGCGTTGCATTTATATGCTGGATCATTTCCGGTTGTCGCAACTGAGGTCATCGAGATTTCTCCGACGTTGCCACTTGAGCTGAGTGCCAACAAGCTCGAATTGGATGAGCAGGACCAGAGCTGGAACCAGTTTGTCCACAGTCATCTCTTCCAAACTGTGCAACCCATCATCGAAACACTGCAAGATGATGTGGCTACTCGTACAAATGAGATCATCATTGTGGACAAAACTGATCAGATTCCCATTGCGTTTCAATGCTCTGAGCAAGATCAGCAGTGTTGCATACAGCGACTTCGAGCAGCACTTTCATGCCAGACGAACACGATTGCTCATGGCCGAGGTGTTCTTGTCGCAATCTTGAACAAGCCAGCTTCTGATGGACAAACATCGGTTATTGCATTTCAGCAGAACAATGTCTTCGAGACTGCCAAGATTATTGATGTTCCTTCCACGACCAGCAGTTCTCACGAAATTTTGCTGAATGGTACTCCGTCCAAGATTCATCAGATTAATGGGGAGCATGTTAAACACTGCACCATGCTGGCCCCAGGTGATTTTCTTTGCTGCATTACCAAGCATGTTGTGGCTGCCGGAGGCCACCATCAATTCGTTGGCCCTCCGCCCATCCTCAGGCAAGGGTCCGACTTTGAAGCCCGCATCGAGTTTATGACCAATACACATGGTTGGGCTGCATCAGACGAGATCTATGCTCGCACTCAGACGTTGATGTGGATGGGAGCAGGCATCCGAGCCTCACCCCCAGTTATGTGGGACACCGTCCAAGACAACTTTGATGATGCCTACTTCGGAGATCCAGTTATTTACAACAACGCTGTCACCCTGTTGCCCATTCTTGTGAGATCCCACTGGGGAGCTGCAGAGATCACCAAACAAGGTGACAACACTGATGTTACGCTGGTTCAGATTCATCCTGACTTCCATCAACAGATCATTGAGATCCTTGCCAAGCTGATGGACATTGATCCAGCCAGGATCAATATGCATGCCACACCGGAGCATTACCAGCCGCATTTGTGTGGATGGAACCTTCTCATGCGGTGGTTCTCTCGAGGCGGACATCGCAATCAGCTGGATGATGTTGCTGCACAGTATCACTTGCCACAACATCTCTTTGATGCAGTATGTGTTGCAATACAATGCTCTATTGAAGACTGGCGCACGGCAGGCATCACTAGGGAAGTCGAACTCTTTGCCCATCGACTGAGAAAGAATTTCCTTACTACGCTTGCTGTGAACCACGCACAAGGGAGACCACCACAGCAACCGATGCTTCAAGTATGCCATCCGAGTCGCAACAATGTTGCCACAGCTCTCACTCCAACAATTGTACCAATGTCGATTGATCAGGACAGGATTGACCGGGTCCAACAGAGATTGGACCATTTTCGTGAGTACAATGGTTGGTTAGCCACCGATGAAATGGACTACGCATTGGAGGGCCCCCGCCTGCTCTCCTTGTCGACTTTGTTCTGTGCGCCAGCTGTTTGGTCCATCATTCAAGGGCAGTTGAACATTGTCAACGACCTCACGCCTGAGTATGCCACGTTTGGGCACATCATTTGGCCCATTGTTGTGAACAACCATTGGATCATGGTCGAATACTTCCAATCTGGAGAAGACTCACATTTCAGTGCCACGGTTCCCGCCAACATGCGAGAACCACTTCGAGCTCTCTTTGATCACTTGGTGCATGTCACTGAGACTGACCGCACAAGGATGCGCTTTGTCTTTATCGACCAAACGTGTCCACCGCATATGTGTGGGCATTCCATCTTGCAGCAGCTGTTCAATCGTGTTGATGCTGGCCAGGTCTCTCTCAGTGAAATCCAGAGGCCTCTTCGCAATGGGCCTCTTCCATTGCATTGGTTCAAGATGAAGCGCAAGCTGTGTGGGACGCCAGTCAGGCTAGCCCTACTCTGCGCCACTTTGCCGCTGCGACCAGAGACTGGTATATGCTCAGAGTTATCGAGAACCGCTTTCCACTGGAATTTATTGCAGCAGGTGCCCAAGATGAAGATGAGCCCATGATTGAAGATTCGAGCAAGAAGGCCAAAGCTGCTGCTTCCACTGGCGGGCCAAAAAGCGCTGCGGGCACCTCCAAAGATGCTGCTGATCCATGGTCTTCGTGGGACCCATGGCGACCGAAGCCACCAAGACCCCAACAGGCGAAATGGGAAGATCTGCAAATCCATGCTCCGCTTCCATTCATTGGATCAGATGGAAAGCCACTCGCTCAGACACACAGGCTTCAGCTTACGCCCTCTCGGGGCCGTGTGGTGTTCACGACTAAGAGCAACATCAATGATGTCATCAAAGCCAATGTGCAAGGAGACCTTGTCGCTGTTTTGCCCGCGGGTGACCGTATACCCTTCTCAAGCACATTGCTGAGCAGATGGAGGGACCCTTTGAGCTGACCGTTGAGGACCCACAAGCCAAGTTGTCCTACAAAAGAATCACCAACATGTTGGTTATCAAGGGCAAGGTCTCTTTTAAACTGCCTGAGCCGGTAGTGCGACTGACTACTGCGGCCATTTGTGAAATGGTGCTCGAGATAGATGCACGCCTAGTGGCAAAGCATGATTTTGACAAGTTCAGAAACAACCCGATCGTCACCTACAAAGGCCTCTTGACTGACATCAGCCCTGAAATCGCTGAGCATGCTGTGCTGTACGGGTTTCGCACCATCAAGTATCCTGGGGGAACTCAGCCGGATCAAATGCTGCAAGTGATCGCCAAACTTCCGTATGCACAGAGGTCCGTTGTCCTTGAATCAAGTGGCAGTTCCACCCTTTTGACCCGCGATTTCCTTGAAAGAGGCAAAGGTAGTGTCGACGCTACCGTTCTGCCACGCTTCTGGACCCCGTCCAATGCTGAACTCCAGAACATGCGCATTGCTGTCCAGGGTGTGCAAGGCTTTGCAGGAGCCGTTATGACTCGAAGAGGGCTAGCCCCTAGAATTTGGGTGTCCCACATTTCCGCTGCGCGTAGCCACCTGCTCGCTTCCGACAGCAGGTTGAACAAGGACAACCTCCATGTGGTTCCGAAGCTCACGCTGCAGCTAGCTGGGTGGCCTGCGGCCACTGCAGCAGAACGTGTGGTTTCCTCCACGTTGCAAGCCTTGAAGCTAGCGGTCATTCCGCTTCGTACCTTTCGGGTCGGAGGGGTGCATGTATGGCTGGTGACCACCGACACAAAACCCAGCCAGACAAGATTTGCCGTGCAAATCAATGCCGAGATCTCAGAGATCCTCGTACAGGAGGTGCCAGAACACATCTCTGGCAAAGGAGGGAAAGGTGGCCAGAAAGGCAAGACCAAGAATTTTGCCAATCCGCCTGTTGCTTGGGTTCCCAATCCTCCTGCACCTGTCCCTACCAAGGGGGACGACTCTCGCATCGACAAGTTGGAGCAGAGATTTGAGAAGCTCGAGGCTCGTCAAGTCACCTTCGAAAGCAAGGTCGACACGAGGTTCAGTGACATCCAGGACTCCTTGAGGCAG